GCCTGTCTTTTGGATAATTCCCATCTGTAAATCTTTTTACGCCCTCAAAATGGGAGTAAATAAAACGCCCATGGCAGAACATACAAAGGGCGTAGATTGGGCATACATTTTACTCGCTTTGTGGTTCTGCGAAAAGAAACCCGGGATTTTATGGTTCTTATTTGGGAGTACTTTTGGCGTAATTGGGGGATTTCTTGCTCCCTTCTAGGCATTTTCAAGAGGCAAAACAGGTGTATTTCAATCACTTGACTATGCTGTTTTGTCTTTTTTTTAACTTTGGAGTAAATAGGTTGAATCTAGGGCGCTTTAGCTCGCCTCTCTTGGGAGTACTTTTGCTATTGAATGGGAGTAATCCAACAAACAGCTGCCAGCGATAGCCGAGCGTACACTTGTATCGCGTGAATGAACGCTATAGCCGTTAACGGGGCAGTCTGCTTCCATCTCTACAGTGCCCGGGTCTCGTGACCCGACCTGAAAAGGCTCAGTCATTCCAAGAAAAAGAAAAAAAGAGGTATACGTGAGTTTTTTTTTTTTTTTCGGTCAGTACTGTCTCTCCACATATACGACTACGCGACGACTACCACTGCTTGCTTCGTCAAGGACGGCAAGACACCTATCCAGAACTTCACTAAAAGCCTCATCTCACCGCAAGCAAACCGCATACTACAGAGCACACCCCCATCTTGTCGCCCCCAAGTTCATTTATTCTGAGCTCCGGTTCATTCGGGACTTGCCGGGAACGAAGCCGTGGACGACGGCAACGCCCGAGAAATCGTCTACCGCGTGCGTCATCCGTCACCAGAGCGGTTACCCTCTCGACGAGCCAAGCAGGCTGAGGAACACGAGGTCGAGTCCTAGTATGGCTACGGAAAAAAACAGAATGGTCACGTATTGTGAAATTCTCGTACGTACCATATAGGCTAAGATTGAAGCACCCACTTCCTGACAAGTCACCAAATAAGCACGAATCGACAATATCGCGATCATTGCAGATAGGAACCCCCCCCCCCCCCCCTCGTTCATCTTGTACAGTCGCATATACCTTGTAATTGTCTTTATTTTTGCGCTGTGTATACTTCCCAAGTATGAACCATCAACTATCCCAACTTTCGCTATTATTACTATTATACCTAAACGCTTATACACCACAATGAAAAGATTGGGAGAGCCCGCCGTAGTTGTCTAGTGGATGAGGTACTCGGTTGCTGATCGAAATACTCGGTTGCTGATAAGGTACTCGGTTGCTGATCGAGGTACTCGGTCGCGGGATCGAATCCCGGCTGCGGCGGCTGCTTTTTCGATGGAGGCGGAAATGATGTGGGCCCGTGTGCTCAGACTTTTCTGCATGTTAAATAATTCCAGGTGGTCGAAATGTCCTGAGCCCTCCACAACGTCGTCTCTCATAATCATATGGTGGTTTTGGGATGTTAATCAATCAATCAATCAATCAATCAATCAGAGATTGCGAGTTGGCTCGCGCCTACCTCGACCACATTATCTGGGTGTGCTGTGCTGCGACACACGCAAACACAGCACCAATCCTATACATTTAATATAACCACGCCCGAACAGTGGGAGACTATGCTGCTCATTGTGGCAATACATTGTCATGCCTAAAATTACATTGACGATAATATTGAACAAATTGTTGTTAATTACCAATTAATATTTTTAACCATTGAGGGCACTTGTTTGTAACAAAAAGTTGTGCGTGCGAATTTGCGACATACTTTTTTTTAATTATGAAAGTTTCAATGTAGCTCGGAATAATTATCCTCTAATTTTAAGGATGAAATCGAAACTGATTGCGGCCGGTGCACTGAAAACGCAGCTTCTCACCGGAACTGTCTGTTTCAAGAAAATGACAAAATTTGAATGAAGGCCTGCTGAAGTTGTAGTATTTTAAAGAAAATCGTCAAGTAATATGAAGTATCCAAGCAGGCTGTTTACCCCTTGGGTGTGATGTGTCGTGATTATCTGTTTCTTTCGTAATTTAAAAAGAGGATCAAGAAACTATTTCGCCTGTCTGCAAAAAAAAAAAAGCGCCGCAGTAGATGCCGTTAATTATTCTACTTCACAGAGAAAGAAGGGCAAATGGTAGCTGCCTTGCTCCATGACTACTAAATTAATAATAGTCAAGAGTCCGACGGAATCCCGTCTGGTCGGGGACAACAAGGCTCTCGTTTGGGGAGCCGAAACGTCTTTTTTAACCTTTGTGTATTTCATCTTGGTCGGTGTTTTTGTTATTTTGCGCTAAATTAATAATACTGCACTGACGTGATCGCTCTTCTATCTGAGCCTATACGAGTACACAAGCAAGACATACCACGAAAAACATGTGGCATGAATGGCACGTATCTATTAATGAGTTAATGTGAAGCGACAAGTTCATGTTACACACAAGCCACACTGCAGCGTGCGTAATTACGGCTGGTGTGTCTAATAATGTTCAAAGCTATATTCGTTGAATAAAATGCAGAAACGGTGTTTGTCCATCGTCCAGGGGCGTCTTTGAGTTTGCTGGACGACTTCTATGGTTGCTGTGCTTTTAAATGAAGATTCTCTTAGTGGCTGCCTCATTCATTCAAGTTTTCAAGTGTTACAAGATGCTTTTGAGACCGTTCATGGGATCCCGTAGATGCGTGTTCAAACTGTACGTTAACTCCCGAGCTTGAGTCGGTGAGAACATCCACGCATTGTTGGAGTCAGGGCCGTTCAGCAGAAGTGTTTTAAGTGTGAATACACTTTATAAGCGACTCCAAACCATCCACCGCCGTCGGCGGCGTCCGCAGTCTTCTCTCTATCTTTAAAAGAAAGAGGACTTGGCGGGCCGCAGCGCGACGCTCTACCGAATAAGCCACGGTCGCGACGCTGATAGTCCCCCTCCCCCTTCGCTCGCTCGCTGCAGCTGCGCGCGCACCCCTCTCTCTCGCGCGCCCGCCTTCTCTCTCAGTCTTCCGTCGAGAGCGGGTCGTGAGAGGGAGTAAAGTTAAAATCCGTTGGCATTCGCCAGTGAGTTAACGTAAACTCCCCTGTGTGATCAAATTGCGATTCCCAGGAACCATTACACCATAAAGGCACCATAGTGTGATTAATACATATAATAGTGCGAATTAATAAATACCCCTCATAGCATCACCCCGTGTATTCGCACTTAACGTGTTCACCCTCGGGGAAATGCTTGGGAGTTTTTCGAGAAGCCAAAGCAGAAGCTGCAGAAGGGTGTGGAAGTAGTGGTCAGGGTAGTAAACGGAAGCATATAGAGTGCGTACACACAGTTTGATACCAGGCTTCAAGATGTGCGGCGCAGGCCGCAGGCTCACTGGATGGTTCATAAACGTGCCACGGAGTGGCGAAGAAGTCATGCGCCTAAGCGTATGTGAAAACAGACAGAAAAAGCAACAAGTTGCGAGGTTCGTGCTCCCGCCAAGTACAGAAATTGAAAATAGCGTACAGAGAATGTGGCAGTGGCCAGAATGAATGCGCAGATGGTAAGTTGCAGTGCGTAGTAGTATAGCGGTAACGGTGAACGAAACTTACACTAATGCTTGTATAAGAAGCTAAACAAAGAGTTGTATGTTGAAATAATGAAGCAAACATGATGGCAATATTTTTTTTCTTACACTGAATGCATCGGTACGATGATTCTTCTTGATAGTCACCACTCAGAGGAGAAGAGGTTGTGATGGGGTTGGTTTGTGAGTGGTTGGCCACATTTCTTTTTTTTTATGAGTGCACACTAGTAGAACGCAATGGCGATTATGTAGCACCTCTTTTTGTTGTCTACGCTTCCTGCCTTTGCGGCAAACTTTCACAGCTCGTTAAGAAAAAGTAGGATTACGTTTACCCGTGTGAATTTCTACTACGATGTTGAGTAATGCTGGTCCACCAACTTTTTCGCTGATTCGCTAGTACGTCGTATGCGTATATAATGAAGTTGGTCGCACAATACCGTGCTCGCACAATACCGTCCACTCGCAGATTTGGCTCAATACCGTCCACTCGCAGATTTAGACGGCCACTCCGGATCTACCAGTGGAATTCGCCATGAGCGTATTCCATCTGCTGCAAACTTCGCCAAAGTGAGCACGGAAATAACCTTCGGGGCTGCTCTGAAATATTACCACTTCATAATGTCCGAGCTAAACACATTCCTATCCCCCCCCCCCCACACACACACACATTGGAATGCCACCACACTGCTCAGTCTCGACCTAGATACACAAGTGTGGGTCAGGGAGTGGAAGCAGGGACCAAGGTATCCTGACCAACAGCGGACTCTAGCAGGCTGAACTTAAGCTTCACGTTTCTTGCAGTAGCCGACGTGGGATTTTCCGTTCATAGGACAGCGTGCATGGATTTATACACAAGCTGGCAGAAATATCTGCGTACATCTTGACGCAGCGTATATTTCGAACGGCATTCAATTTTTCACATTTTGATTTCATTCCATAATTCAAATTGAACCTTGGTGTTTGTTGGCTGTGTCTGCAAACAAAAAAGGATGTGGGAAGACAATACTTGGTCTTTTTTTCCACATTTATTAGCGCTCAGGCAAGACTTTCTGCACATGTGCCGAAATTTTCGATTCCCTTATGCATTACCTGGCATTGTTTTCTGTGAATTATCATGTGGTTGTGACAACCTAAAGTTTGGTCGCTTGGTTTCGTTTCTTCTCATCCGAAGAGTTGTCGCTTTGAGCTTATTTTTCCAAAGTTCTTGATTTGCATCTAACGTTTGTTCAATTATTGAAAGTTGAAGAACACCAGGGGATCAATAATCCCGCAGCTCCCCTCTACGTAGCCTGTCATGGTATTATCTTAATTTCGGGATGTAAAACTTCATCAACTAAGTTACGTTAGTCATTCTGACTGAACAACCCCCTTGCACGCTATACATGAATCAGGATTTATAGCATATGGGTGTTGAGCAAAAAAAACAGTCAGGGTTTCAAGAGCGCAAAACCATCCAGTGAGCCTGCGTCCATGCGTCGTACTTACACCACTTGAACTCGTAAAAGTCGTAGTAGTCGTCGTCGACCAGGTTCGGCCTGGGCTGGCCGTCGTAGGAGCTGAAGCGGCACATTTGGTAGCGCGACGAGTACTCGACCGAGCGGCAGTCCCGGCTGTAGCGTCGCATGCACTCGTCCAGGCACTCGTGGAACGAGTACGCCTTCACCTCCACCTGGTGCGAGCCGTCCAGCCGCTTGCGCCGGTAGCACTCGAACGTGGCGTTGTTCAGCAGCACGTCTACGTAAGAGCAGTCCACGTGACTTCCTTTAGCGCGCCACACATTCGTTACGTACGTGCACGGACAAGGGTAGCGAAGGCAAAGGCTGGTTGCCAGCGAGGGTTCATCGGCGAGGCGTCGACAGAATGTCAGGGGCAGGACAGACGCAGCGAAGAATGCGAATTGCGAGCGTGAAGAGAAGGGAGACAGAGTGAACTGCAGACTTTGCAAGCGATTGGAAACACTGCGCACACGCATGGAGTACGCCTTCGGTGAAAGAAAACTGCAGTGATGAAATGAACAAGCTTGCGGTCCCGCTCCGAGTCTGCACTGGTAGCACGAGGACAGTAGAACAGCGTAGTGCGACTACACAATGACACACAACAGATATTGGGGCCACGCCATCGTTACGCGCTCGCGAAGGCTCCGTCAAAACTTACCGGGGGCCGTTGCCGGAGCAATACACGGGATAGTGGCCTGAGACCTTGTTGCGGACCGTGTACACGTATACACCCCAGAGCAATAGTTTGCGGAATGCTAAATGCCCGAGAAATATATATCCATCCTTTGTATGTGAACAAAACCTCCAAATCTTCCAGCCTGCTATTGCTATTTCAGTTCAAACGGTCGCCACGTAGGTAATAAGTATTACGCACTAATAGAGAAGAAATCTACCTTTATTCTCAAGCCAACGCCTCGTAAGCGTTTGCCGTTGAGTCCAGTTGAAGACACGCATCCAAGGCGGAGTGAAGGCATGTGATGGATTTTTGGTGAGGAGTCTAGGCGTGGAATCAAAATTAAGGAAGTAAGGAATTACGCTGCTTACGATAGGAGTTGCGAGCGCAAAAAAATTTGAAACAGGCTGAGCTGGAAACATGGCAAGCCGTTGAAAGCAGAGCACCAGCGCAGAAGCCCACTTTCGTTGCGAAAACCGTAGTAACCGAAAATGGGCCTTCGAACCTGAGTGGAGTTTTGACTGATGGCATAGTAAACGTCTACTTAAGAGACGCCTCCATCCGGTGCGCACTTTGCAGCCATTGCACACCAGTGAACGACTTCTAGATGTACATTCCGAGCTCATACAGCAAACTAAAAGGTGGATGCCAAGGACATACTTGTTTGCTTTGCGGTACAATCATCCATAGAAAGTCATTCGAAGAGAACTTAAAGGGGAAAGTGAAAGAAACTAGTCGGCATAACTAAACGAGCTGCTGCTGCTTCCTGTAGAAGCCGTGCGTCTGCGTAAGCAGACACCCGCTTCAAGCTCAATAGCCTGAAGGCTTGAAGGCAGATGTTTCCAACGTGCCAGCTACGCTGTCTTTCAGGGTAAGCCCCTTCGTAAAGAAAGCTTAAAGAAGCACTCCGGGAAATAAACGACTCTTCGAAGAACTGTCAAGCCTTGAAGCAAACGCAGTACGGTCAAAAAGGCACAGCGGGAAAGCTTTGTAAGTAATGCGCTCAGCAAGACACTTGTCCGCGTGACAAACAGACGTGTGATTCGAGGAAGTAAAGCCAAGTTAAACGCCAGCAAGAAATTTTTCCGGCGTTGAATGCTCAGAATAATAGAACTAGAGAAGGCAATCACACAATGACACCGTGTATTTCCTGCGTTTCACCGAGCCCACTATTCACTAATAAACTGGTGTGATCTTTTCTTTCTGTGCTTCTGTCTTAAAAACAAACGGAATTCCTTCTCCGTTCGTATAGTTGTAGCTCTCGTGACATTATTACGAAATCACCACTGATTTATTGTTTTTTTTTTATTATTACCACTACAGTCGTGTACACTTCAGCAAAGTGAACATTGCAAGACGATCTTCATCAACGCATATGTTGCACCTGGCGTCTCTGTTCCGTTGGTTACTGAATTCTGATTTAATCTTTACCTCATTATAGTCAGCTAGCAGAGTTAGCCTAAACTATGTTTTCTTACTGCTGAAACTGTTGTTTAACTACTAATGGGTCATTTCTAAAAATTATTTCTAGGCCTCGCTGGCAATGCACATTGGGACCACAGCGATAGTCCCACACAACCATCGCTTCTCTATCTGTCTGTCTATCTATCTATCTATCTATCTATCTATCTATCTATCTATCTATCTATCTATCTATCTATCTATCTATCTATCTATCTATCTAATGTCAGTTCCCATCCGTCGTCCTGTTCTTGAGAGAGAGAGAGAGAGAGAGAGAGAGAGAGAGAGGATAAACGTCTTCCTTTGAGGAGATATCTTGGAAAAGGCGTCTTTGGTCCAGGACAGCTCAAGTCATGTCCTAAGCCTTCGGTACTGCCCTTTAAACCAAACCACACGTACGTGTTACGGCGCGTCAGCGCGTGGGGCACCCTCTCCCTTCGTAGGAAGGCGACGTGACGCCTGATGTGCACGCCATGCACTGACGCATTGTATAGCATATATGCGGCTAGGGCTTCAGCTGATAGTCTAAGGTTCGAGTTGGCCACGGCTGCCTACCTAGGCTCGTTGATGTGGCAATAATCGCGCAATCTCAATGAAGATTCTCTGCATACTGTATGCTGAAAAGGAGGGACTGTTGGGCTTGTTTCCTGAAACCTATATGCTGAAGGGTCCCAGGTTCTCCCACGAAAACATCTCCCGGACCCTACAGACTTCTACCGTGTGCAGAGCGCCCAAAGAGCAGCACCCTCATTCGCACTAGGTGAGCTGGACAATCGTGCTCTGGCATAATTCAAAATTTTGGGGCACTGGTATACGGTGACTTCAACGAGCATTTCCAAGAGCGTTGCTATGGTTCTTTAAAGAAACTGAACTGATTGACATGTTTTCACAGTTCAGTGACACGTTCGTGTGTTGATTTTCAGACAGTGCTATTTCTGTGACTTCGTAGTGCAGTTACAGACTCTCTCTCTTTCTATTTCATTTTTTAGCAACTCCTTTTCCTCGCCCAGTACGAAGTAGCTCACTGGAGTTTTACTCTAGTCAACCTGGCTGTGTTCCCTCTACCTTTCTCCCTCTACCGACTCTAGAAACGGCACAGAATGCTTGATCACCCATGGAAAACACATTCGCGATGACGTTAAAACACAGGGCCCGTTCCGAAGACGGGCCTCGGCTTACCGCGCTCGGAGCTTCCGCAAAGCACCCGGTACAGGTCTCCCGTGCTGCTCTTGAGCGGCTTGTGGCCCTCGCTGCCTTCGCCGTAGCCCAGAGGGTCTTCGTCGTAGAGGGTGCACGTGCGCGCCTTGTCGTCGAACAGGAACGAGCGGCAGAAGTAGCCCCGGTCCGACAGGCTGCGCGTGCAGTAGTTGGAGCACTCCTGGAGGTCTCGCGTGGACACCACCTCACGCTCGAAGGCCCCGTCGAGCTCCTTGCCGGCCTCCAGGATGAACGCTGTCGTCGTGCACAGCTGAGAGCCTGCGGACGAAAGTGGCAAGTTGTGTGCGTGTTATACACTACGCAACTACATCATGTGGGCGGAGCCTTATGCGTTCGATTGCCGTTGGATGTTCGCTGAAGAGACGTCCTGCTGTGCAGGTGACGCGCTTTAGTGGTCTTGTGGTCATCATGGTGGTCGACTGCCTGCACGAAGGTGTCGGCGTGCGATCCTGGCTGGAGTGGAACGATTTAGATGAAAGCGAAATGCTAGGGGACCGTGTATTTATCAGGTTTATGTGCAGTTCAAAGAACCCCTGGCGATGGGAACGTTCGGAGCCTTCCACTACCACGTCCTTCATAACAATGTTGTGGTTTTGTGACGTAAAACCACAACAAATATTACTCTTTGCAAGCACTGGCTTGTCGGCACGTTTACTAATGCCTTTAAGGTCCAGCTCATGGTCAAAATAAGATTTTTTCATGTAGTCCTACTGAGATCATCTACAAGTAAAACAATGTTTAAATAAATTTCAACACTTCTTTGTTGCTCATCGCTGTCGCACTACTTAGTCACTTAAAGCATTGACAGGTATTTTATGGGATTTCTGAAATGAGAATAATTGACTTTCGACTCCGCGACTTCAAACACTCGTGGTGCCTTTTATGAAACTACAATTCTGCATTAGTTGACGAAAAAAGTGCGGTCATTCATTGGCCCTTCTTCGTTGTCTGTACTTGTCGGTCGCCACCTGGTTTTCTTAATTTTTTTTTTAAATGCTTCTGAGAACTCTCATTGCATGTGACATATTATTCTTATGGCTTGCTTTAGAGCCTAGTGAAGGTCACATAAGCATTTTCGTCACATACGGTGGAGATGTGCTGTTAGAAGCATTCGTTTTACAAGACTTGTAAATTGAAACTCTCGTCAACATGGCATAAGGCTTACGTCTTTAAGAAAGCTGTATCAACAGAAACAATAACAATACTGTGCTTTACCTTCACCCTCTTACTCACCAACAACCTCATCTTCAGTTTTCCCCACACTTTTTTCTTATCTCTTCTTCACCCTTGTTGTACTTAGTTTATGATATGCTTTCCCTCTCGCTGTACACTTGCCCCCTTCTCTCAACTAAGCCACGCTGCGAACATTGCAACCATACGAGCAAGCTCGACTTGAACAGTTCAGCCGTAAATGTCAAGCTTATTCGTGGCTTATGTGAAGCCACCGTTGATAAAAAGCAGGCCCTACCGCTGTGACAGTTTATATAATGGCTGGGAAACGTCTATTAAAACAGCAGCTGTTGCACTGTTTGTTCAACATTTGCGTCGGTGGCGCAAAGGGCATGTACTGCATCCCCGCGTTGCACCATATAACACGTGGCAACTATTCTTCACTTCCGGTTAACGTCATGGCAGATAGACGCATTCATCAACTGAATGATTATAAACAAGCTCAAAATGTCACGTGAGTGGTAATAAGCAAGCTCAAGATATCAGAGACGCTCATTAATATTTTTTTTGTCTAGGCTTGTGCATGATGATATACAGAAGCGCACTCAATTAACATTAGAAAGGAAGCGTAGCATGTATCGTGGCGGAAATTTTGCTAACTCGAAGGTCTGCGATTCCATGTCATGCCTGTCACAGCGACCTGAAAATAACCACGCCAGGCCTGCGCGGAACGCGCAGCAGTCACAGCAAAAGCTAGAAGAGCGGCCTTCAGAGCCTTTTGTAAACACTCTTCGGATAACTGCTACAAGCACACTGCTGGGTACCCACTACGTCATAAACATTAATAATTTTTGCGTAGTAAGCCAGCCTTCACTATGCTATCCTTCGTCATTCTTTAGAGAAGCATGGTATCCGCTGCACACTTGTTAGGAATTTGGGGTAAGTTTTATGCACAGCCTGATGACGATGAATAATTATGCCTGAAGTCGGTATGCGCCATAGTTATTAAACTATTATTCAATTTACTGAGTTTTTTTTTCTTTTTCTTTCGATACTGGTTACCGGCGGCGGCGGCGGTGGAACACTACGGTGCCCCGCGTGACTCATGTTTTAATCTCATAACAGCGTTTGCTGTAAAAACAAAAAAAAAGAAACAAAAACGTCGTGACTTGTTTGACAGTCGGTGATGGCAGGCAGGCAGGCAGGTGGATAGATAGATAGATAGATAGATAGATAGATAGATAGATAGATAGATAGATAGATAGATAGATAGATAGATAGATAGATAGATAGATAGATAGATAGATAGATAGATAGATAGATAGATAGATAGATAGATAGATAGATAGATAGGTGGAAAGACGGATATGTGGAAAGATGGATAGAGGGATAGGTGGATAGACATACAGACGGATAGGTGGAAAGATGGATAGAGGGATAGGTGGATAGACATACAGGCGGATAGGTGGAAAGATGGATAGAGGGATAGGTGGATAGACATACAGACGGATAGGTGGAAAGATGGATAGAGGGATAGGTGGATAGACATACAGGCGGATAGGTGGAAAGATGGATCGAGGGATAGATGCATGGATGGATAATGACTAGGATAATGGATGGATCGGTAGCCGCAACGCACAGACGTCACCCGAAAACGTGAACACTGCGAGCCACGACAGAAGTGCGCACTCACTGGGCAAGCAGAGGTTCTCCATGTACTCGGCGTTCGAGTCCGGCTTGAATCCCTTGGGGTTCATGTAGCGGGTCTCGGGGCTGAGCCGACACAGCTGCGCGGCGCGGTCGTACGTGGCCGAGCGGCACACCAGGCTGGCCTCGGAGAGGCACTTGTCCTCGCACTCGGTGCGGTTCGACGAGTACATCTCCTTGTCGCCGACGCCGTCCATCCGGTAACCGGGACTCCGGTCGAACACGTACAGTCGACTCGAGCACTCGGTGATCACTTTGCTCGCTGCGGTTAGAGGATTCCAAACAGGCATTGTTTAGAAAGAGAGAGAAAGAACATCAGCAATGTGGGCAGCAATGTAGGTGCGCGCATCAAGTGCTCGAGACATGGTGCTAATTCGGATGCGATTTGCCGTACGGCTGTTTGTACCGATAGCCGCATCCGACAGATGTCCAACATATTCCGACGGTATGCGGCGACGATTCGCCCACCGTGTGTGTGTGTCCATGAGCTAACGTTCGAAAGCGAGCGACGCTACCAATAACGTCGGCCCATACGCTCGGAATCGTCAATGAATGGGGGCTGTGGCGAGTTTTGTCGTTCGCAAAGGCGTAGCTTTGTTGGCAATGTTATTAGAGAACGAAGCAAGGCTGCGTGATGTTGCTTGTCTTGTGCTCAATAAATAGGACACGGCGTCTTCCGAGAGAGAGAGAGAGAGATGCGAGGAAAAGCAGGGAAATTAACTTTGCGCACGTCCGGTTAGCTACTCGGCACTGTGGGAACAGATGAAAGGGGGGGGGGAGATAGAGGAGAAAGAAGAAAGATAGATACACACAATCACGAGCACACTCGGGGGAGCACACGCAGTCTACAGGTGGTCGCTCAGATTTGTTGAGTTCAGGTACTTCTGTTGCGAAAGCAGTATCAAGATAGGAGGGGGCTCACATGAGAGGCAAACTTCGTTGTAGTGCCAGGCATTGTTCTGTCGCACGAGCGTCTCGCCCCCGTCGGGCGACGCCCTGTCGTAGTAGAGGTAGCACACCGACTCCTCGAACTCCACGGGTGCCGAACCCGAGGCCTGTGCTGGAGTCGGCGGTCTCCGGCGTCCCGGCATGAAGTCGAAGGACAGGCACTGAGCCACGGCCGTCGTTCGGTCTTCCTGGCAGCGCCTGACGCACTCCTCGAGCACCTTGATCGGCTGCTCGGCGCGCGTTATCTGAGCGAGAAAAATGCATTTATGTCGTTGTGGTAGATTTCATCAGTGTGCGTAGCAGTGTAAATGTTTTTCTATTACGGGGGAAGGTGGGAGCAAGTTTCAAAACAGCCCCCTCCTCCCCCTTTTTCTCTGACTGCAAGAGCCCGACAGAAAGCAAACTTGCTAAATGTGTTATTTTTGGCGGAATGCTTGGATCATCAGGGACACAGAAGAGGCCGAGAGAATCGCCAACAAAGGACAGAAAAGAGACAGAGGAGCGGCTTTCTACATGTTTCAAGCATTGCGCTTGGAATAAAATTCGTGGCAAACATAACACACCAACTCATCCAGGAACAACTTATTCTAAAGCAAACTTTGGAATGGGCGCAAAGTTGAATATGATGCAATGTCGTGCGGCTCACAATGGTCTTTCTTTGCTAACAGGCATTACAGTATTAAACACATGAGTATACCGTTCTTGGAATGCAACGTGAGGGAGGTTCAGCTGCTGTTCTGCTTAAAAACCTTCGCGGCAACAAACCTTAGCATTGTTGATCGTATCCGACTGAGCAGACACCTGGGGCTGACTTAGCGTCCCCCTTAACGGGGGAGAGCGAGGGGGGAGTCTGTATGACCTGCCACCCACGTGCGCGCACCTATGACAGACGTTTCAGATACGACCGACGACAGGTTTTTTCAGCTTTTCTGTGGGCCCGTACACGTGCTATCCGCACAGCCGCACCGGCGCACGTGCTGGGACACAGTGCCGCACGCGAGCGGAGAGCGAAACAGCGAATCGGCGACGCTCTTTAGCCCTAGGCTTGCGTGCGGCAAGTGTCCGGTCACGTTAGGTGCGGCTGTGTGTACAGCGCGTGTACAGGCGCTTAATCGTAAATTTTCTGCGCCCGCAATTGAAACATGCATATCATTTTCCACATACAATTTTCGAGCTTTACTACCTGTTTTATCAAAGAGATGAAGCTGCAGCCTTTTCGTGTTTTTTGTACCAATCATGAGGCAATTGATTATGTGGATTCTCCCCTCTGTACGCGCCCATTTGACTAGGAGCACTTCCGAATGAAAATCAACGGGAATCCCGCTCCAGATTCGATAACACCTTGTCGAGTTTCTATGGGGCACATGAGGAATGTTTTACTTGGGAAATATGTGAAGTTATGATGCCTTTTAAACAACATCGTCCGAGAATACCAGCAGCAATTTGTCCGAGGTTGTAGCACTCACCAGTTCGACGCGTTGCCGTCCTCCACCGAATCCGGCGCTGAGCTTGTAGTCGGATATTTTCTCGTAGACTAGCTTCCCGACACCGTTGTTGCAACTCTGAGCTGCGGCGTGAAGAGAAGATACGGCAGAAGGTTGTTTGGATGCACTGCATCGCACGCTTTCATTGTAATCAGACACAAATTACTACAACACTGGGCATTGTAAATAATTCTTTGTTTACTTTTTTACAAGCACACCCCATACGTTGCGATCAAAGATAACATGGGTGAAATAGCACCGAGCACCAAGTGCGTTCTGTTCATTTGCTGTGTCTAGGACACGGCACGTCCTCTGCGCGTCATTTATTTCCTCTACAATCCAGCATTCACGTTATTGAAATTTAAATAATTAGGCTACTTAATGATGTGATGTCTATTTGAGCTTTTTAAAGCACTTAGAAAAGAATACGCTGCGCAACAGATTACCTGCGGAGAAATAACGGACCGAGCAACCACTAGAATGACTAGTTGAGCACATAAACAAAACAGCAACGACGTAGGACTATAGGTGCATCCATTGATTGATTGATATGTGGGGTTTAACGTCCCAAAACCACTATATGATTATGATAGATGCCGTAGTGGAGGGCTCCAGAAATTTAGACCACCTGGGGTTCTTTAACGTGCACCCAAATCTGAGCACACGGGCCTATAGGTGCACCCATGTCACACACAGGTCCCGTTAATTCGGGAGGCGATCGCCGGGCTAATTCCAAGGGCCGAAGTATCGGCCCCCCAAACCGCACCACGAAAGCGTGGACAATTTAGAAGTGGTCCTTTTTGGCGCGCCAGCGGACGCCAGCTGTGGCCCAACGAACAAGTCAGAGCCGAGAGTTGATAAACAAACAAAATTATATTCTCAATAATGGCAGATCGAAAACAATACACAAGAATGCACACTCCACAATAGTTGCATACAATATGTCACCAATCAAACAACGTACTACACAGTACACTCAGCCACACTCGAAACAACGGACACAGACAACAATACGCACTACAATGCAGTCGCATGCATTGAACAACCAAGACACTTAAAGACTAAAGAGATAGAAAACCTATTCAGTCCAAAGTTCTTGGAACGAAAGTCTGAATGATACTCTTCCGAGAATCACTCACTCAAAGTCCAGCGTTGTTGTCGTTCCGCTGCCCTCGAAGTTTCTCTTCCAGGAAACCTCGCCGAAGTTTCTCTTCCAGAAAACCTCACGTCTTCAATAGACCACTCTCCAAGCTTCAAAATTCTTCGCCGGAAACACGTCGGCTTCACACACGCAGCTGTTGCCACGCGCCTTCGCTCGATAGCGGTAAACACACGCTCTTGCCTGTAGCTCGAGCTTTCACCCCTCAGTTGAAAATCCTCTTCATCTCCTGCTTTGTCGCTACGGACAATACCTTCGCCGACTACACGGCGGGATCCCTTCGCGCTTTGGCGCTAACTTCCGTCTTCTCCTGCTTTGTCCCTACGGATAAAACCTTCACCGACTACACGGCGGAATCCCTACGCGCTCTGGCGGTAACTTCCGTCTTCTCCTGCTTTCTCATGTCGGCTGCTCGATGAAATACCTTCCGCGCGAGATTCCAGAAGGTTCTCGTCAGTTAGTCGGCGCGATGCGCAGCGGAGGCTGGGGGAAGGCGCGAGACTGTACGAGGGCCGTCCCCGACAGATGACTCAACCCGGCATAACACGCCCCTTTCCTTCTAGAAATTGCCAGCGCTTGCTCGGCCGCTGTTGTGGGGTGAGGAGGTTCGTCGGCGAAGCCACGCTTCCGAGAGGAGAGGCTCGCGTGCCCGGGAAGCCTTTAGATGTTTGTTTTCTTTTTCTTTCTTTTTCGTTGCCCTCGCGGCGTCATTCCGACGGTTCGTCGCGAGAATGTGGCGGCGCGCCCTTTTTGAGCGCTCGTTCTGTGACACTGCCCCCCACTTTAAGAATATTATCTCATAATATTCAAAACCACACAAACGAGCGCGAACAGTCACCACACACTTAAAGACTAACATAGTCCGTCGCTCATGACACGTCACATTCACAATATTCCACTCAATACGATTGGACATTACAATTCAATCTCACACACATAAAATATAACCGCAGGTACATGAGTACGACGCTTAATCACACATTCCAAACAATACAAACGACAAGGTTCTGTTTTTACAACAATTATACAACACTATCCATCACATCATCGCACAGAACACTTTGACTCGCTCGACATACATTTGGGACACAGGATAACAAGAACATAAACACAACATATGTCACTCAGCCCTGCCAAACACATTCCGATTCCACCTCAGCACCTATCCTGTGTATTTCGAGCTGCGCTTGCGTCCTTTCTTGCGGTGCTCGCTCGATCTCTTCTTGTTTTTCCTTGTTCTTTTTCGGTGAGCCTTTTCCAACGACGGTATCTGAGGCAGCGTCTCAGCCATCGTTGTCACTTCCGACCCCGCTAACGGGTCATGACGTTCGACGGGTCCTGTCTGTTTATTTACCAGCTTGTTCATGTCTCTATATTTAGCCCGGCTGGCCGACTCCGTCACCTTTACACTGCCGGTTGGTTGAGGTCGTGCCGACGTAGGTCCAGCTGCCCGGCCCGTGAACTGATTCAACACGATCATCTTCTCATTCGCTGTCTCTTGCGCCGCGGCTTCACCTTGGGCTCTGGTGAGATCCGTCACGGGCTGCTCCTCCACTGTATCTCGCGGTCGCTGGGTTGGCGAGGGCTCTATCTTAGGATCTTCTCCCAAACATTCCGGATCATTCGGTCCTCGCGCCCCGTCGATGTTTCCGATGACAAGGTCGTACAGGGGGGTCATCATGCATAAAGCGGTAACCTTCGCGCGGAAGTACGGGGTTTCGACCTCAATTTCTGCTTCGGGAAGCACCCGAACTGTACGGTCAATTAGGCAAACTGGTTTCATATTGCCTGTTAACTCACTTTGCCGTACCAAATTTTTCCGCACGATAACAGTGGAGCTGCCGGTATCTCTTAACACTGTAACCTTTTTGTCCGCAACTTTTCCAGGCAGCGTTGGCATTCCCTTCGAAACACCGGTTGGCTGTGTTGCCATTACCGCACCCACAATAGGAATTTTCTCCCCACTTTTCAACTCTACGAATCCATCTGTGACGGCCTTATCATCGGATTTCGGTGCTGCTAGCACACAGGACACCTGGTGAGTTTGACTCGCTCCGTTTCGACATGCGTCTGCTTTGTGCCCAGTCTGACCACACTTGAAACATTTTACAACCGTCGGGCTCGTAAAGATCGTTCGACAGTTTTTCGCGCGATGACCCAGTCGGTTACACAGAAAACATCGCGGAATGCTCTCTGGTGCACGCTTCTTTTCTTCGGGAGCCAATTTCTTCGAATCTTCGGGACACTCCTTCTTGACCTTGGCCAAATTAGTTCCACCTTGCGCTTCCAGGAATTGATCAGCCAATTCAAGCATTCCTTCAAGTGACTCACCCTTCCTCTCTTTGAAGTACAGCGACAGGCTTGAGTGGCAACTAGTAAGAAATTGTTCTCTAATAAGGAGCTCTCTAAGTTCATCGTACTCCTGCGCTGTCCCTGAAAGTTCAATCCATCTGTCGAAATAATGGCAAAGTCGGGCGGCATACTGCGTAGCCGTCTCACCTTCAGCTGGCTTTCCTGTCCGAAATCTGTCCCGGAATCCTTCCACAGTAAATCTAAATCGCTTCAGCAAAGCAGCTTTCACCTTTGCATAGTTGGCTGCATCGGTCGGCGTCAGCCTGCCATACACACTGAGCGCTTCACCACTCAAGCAGGAACTCAAAGCAGTTGCCCATTGATGTTCCGGCCAATTCTGGCTCCTCCCAATTGTCTCAAATCGGTGAAGGTACGCGTCAAAGTCGTCCTTCCTTTCATCAAGCGCCACGAGCAGCATTCTTGGGTTCAAGCGGAAGCCATGATCTTCCCGTTCGCTGCTTTCAACTCTAGCTTGGACGGGAGTTTCACTTCGCTGTTGCAAACGGAGCCGCTCGAGTTCCATCTCGTGCTGTCGCTGCCGTTTCCTTTCCTCTCTTTCTTCTTTCGCCCTCTCAGCTGCCAGTCTTCCTTTCTCCAGCTCCAACTTCAATTGCAGCTCTCTTTCTTCTTTCAGCTGTCGCTCTCTTGCCTCTCTATCTTCTTTCAGCTGTCGCTCCTTTGCTTCTCTTTCTTCCCTCGCCCTTTCAGCTGCCAACTTTTCTCTCTCCAGCTCCAATTTCAATTGCTGCTCTCTTTCTTCTTTCGCTCTCTCAGCTGCCAACCTCTCTCGCTCCAACTCAGCTGCTTTTTCTTCCTTGGCCCTCTCAGCTGCCAACCTCTCTCGCTCCAACTCAGCTGCTTTTTCTTCCTTGGCTCTCTCAGCTGCCAACCTCTCTCTTCCAACTCAGCTGCTTTTTCTTCCTTGGCTCTCTCAGCTGCCAACCTATCTCTCTCCACCGCCTCTTTCTCTTTCTGGCTTACCCACTTCCGTAGTTCGGCGCCAGAAAGACCCATCTTCTCACCAAGAGCTACTAACTTTTCGAGATCCATTTTGTCTCGCAAATAAAACCTTGCCGCGTGTAAAAGGTATCTGCCTAAATCACTCTATCGGAACACTCCCCTGCGCTCGTTAACGAGAACACTGAACAACACAAAATATCGTTCCGATAGCAGTATCAACAACTCGAGGCTCTTTCTCACTACTTTGGACACACTGTACACCAAAAGGTCCTGTCGCGGACGCCAGATTAATCTGTCACACACAGGTCCCGTCCATTCGGGAGGCGATCGCCGGGCTAATTCCAAGGGCCGAAGTACGGCCCCCCGAACCGCACCACGAAAGCGTGGACAATTTAGAAGTGGTCCTTCTTGGCGCGCCAGCGGACGCCGGCTGTTGCCCAAAGAACAAGTCAGAGCCGAGAGTTGATAAACAGACAAAATTATATTCTCAATAATGGCAGATCGAGAACAATACACAAGAATGCACACTCCACAATAGTTGCATGCAATATGTCACCAATCAAACAACGTACTACACAGTACACTCAGCCACACCAGAAACAACGGACACAG